TAATGAAATAGAATAACTAAGACACTATAGTATAATAGTTTTCAAAAATCTGTCAATTGCTAATTTCTAGAATTTTCCATTTAATATTTTTGGAATATTGACTGATCATGAGTAACTGATACCATGGAAAACAAATCTGAATATGGGGTTACTGTACTCTCTCCCCCACACCTCACATAAAACAAGCAAAGTTGTATACAATAATTATTAATCCTCCTAGATATAGTTTCTTCCAATATTTTTAATTTCATTCTTTTTTTAAAATGGTGACCATGACAGATGCAATCACACTTGTAATCCCAGCATTCAGTAAGCTAAGGGAAGAGATCCCAGGTTCAAAGCTAGCCCTGGGATACATAGCAAGCCACTGTTTCAAAATATATATATTGGTCAGGATACACTAAACTGATATTCTAACCCCATAATGGACTGGATTTATAGTCTGAAGGAGGATTAAATGAGATAATGAGTATAAAGGATTTGATAAAGTACCTGCTACCTAGTTCAATTGTGAGCTACAATTGTTATTGTTTTTTGATATATTATGATTGTTACTGTTGCACAGAAATCCCTGAAGCCAGATAGGCAGGTATGGCTGTTCTTACAGCATGACAGACATACGTTATCTAAGCACTCAAATAAAATCCCAGCTCATCCCAACTCAGGTCATCCAAGACCAAAAAGTCTGGTAACAGTGACTGGCAAAAATTTTGGGTTTTCATAGGCTAGAAAGGATAGGATTGGGAAGACACAACCATTCATAATGCCAGTGCAGGTTGGGGCTGGGATTCAAACCACAACTGGCTGGCTTCAAATCTCCTTGTCTGAGGGCTGGCAGAGTGGCTCAAGTGGTAAATGCTAGGCAGGCAAGCATGCCTGCCTAGCAAGCATAAGGCCCTGAATTCAAACCCTAGTGCTGCCAAAAAAGAAAAAAAGACAGAAGTTTCTGAGCAGCACGTCCGAGTGACAGACAACAACCCCCCGTGAGATCTCTGCAAGCTCGCCTACATCTCTTCCATAAGGTGGAGCGGAGACCAACAACACAAGACATCCCATAAAAAATGTCACCTGGCTCACCAGGACAACCAGCAAAGTTCAGAGGACACTGATCCACACAATGGCACTGCAGAGCTCAGAAGCAGTGGTCGATTTCACTACTTTTAAACTTCACTGCTCTTCATTCCCAGAACTTGAACATCCCACACTGGCTAGACATTTTAAAAGCTCCTAATATGCTGAGTGACAGGAAAGTACAAAGTACTTTAGGACCACAGAGCAAGTGTTGCGCAAAGCATTCTCCTATGGCTTCAGATTTTTATAATAGTGGTCTGAATTTTTTTACAACGTGCTTAGGTTTGCTATTTTTTATTACATAGTGGGTCTATTAAACATTTATGTGCATTATCACATTGCATGAATATTTAACAAAGTCCCACTAATTGAAAGGGTTATAGTTTTTTGATGGCGCTAGTAGACCACTTAATGCATTAGGCCTTTAACTACTGGGCTTTCTAATTTAAGGCAGAATAAATCAACAATGCTAGCATCATTTCACAGTAAGGATTTTTTAAAATATGCATGACCAAAGGTCTTTCCAGAAAAATAAGAGTGTCCTATCTTACTTACTCTTTCTATAAACCCATCACAATGCAGGAATAAAACACCAAGTCATCTATGAAGCACAAATTCACATTTTATTATTATTTTGAAAAAGACTTTACCCATTCTAATTGCCCAAGGGCAGGATTAGGTTTTCATTGCCTTAGGTTAAGTCTAACAAGTTATAAGTGGGGAAAAATTCTTCTCCTATTTCCTTGGCTCAAGATCTTGAGTCAAAATTAGTAGCACAAGGGCTGGCGGCTTGACTCAAGTGGTACAGCACCTGCCTCTCAAGTGCATAAGCCCTGAATTTGAACTCCGGCGCCACCAAAAAGTAAAATATATACATATATATATAGTGCAAAACAATGTTGAAACAAATCCAGAAAAATTTTATTCCCTAAAATAAAGAGTCTCCAAAAACAACAAACCATTAGGATTCTATGGAAGAACTTTTGCTTTGCGGACTAATTCCTAATCCCATCTTTGGTAATAAGCTTTCTTAACACCCTGATTTCATTCAGTGTTTACTAAGCATTTAATGACTCCTTTTTTTTTTTTTGGCAGCACAGGGCCTCACACTTGCTAGGCAGGTACTCTTACTGCTTGAGCCACTCCACCAGGTTTTTTTGGTTTTTTTGGTTTTGTTTTGTTTGTAGAGATAGGATCTCACAAACTTTTTGCTCTGGGCTGGCTTCGAACCACAATCCTCCTGATCTCCGTCTCCTGAGTAACTGGGATTACAGGTGTGAGCCACTGGCATGAATCAAATGAGGCTTCAGTCTTAGACCTCCTCATTTGCACTAGAACTTTTAAGGACCTGCACAAAATTTTGTTTTTACTCTCTTTTCTTTCTCTCTCTCTCTCTCTCTCTCTCTCTCTCTCTCTCTCTCTCTCTCTCTCTCTCTCTCTCTCTCGTTAGAGGTACTGGAGTTAGAACTCAGCACTTCCTAGGCAGGCACTCTACCACTTGAGCAATGCTTCCAACCCTTTTTGCTTTGGTTATTTTTGAAATAGGGTCTCAAGTTTATAGCCAGGCCAGCCTGGACAGAGATCAGAGATCCTCCTATTTACTGCCTATCTGCGATGATAGGTGTGTACCACCACACCCAGCTTTTTGTTGAAGATGGGGATCTTGTTTTTGCCTGGGCTGGCCTCCAACAGGGATCATCCAATCTCTGCCTCCTGAGCAGCTAGGATTACAGACATGAGCCACTGTGTCCAGCTTGTTATTTTTTTTTTCTTAAAGTGTACCTCAAATTGTATATGCTTTAGATTCCATCTAGTCTGGATTTTTTCTTGGAGAGGAAGAAAGAGAGCTGACCGCTTGAGCACATGGGGCCTCTAACTCTCCAGCATCCTCTGCCACCACCGCCCCCACACTTCTCACTTCCATGATCCCTGCACCCCCAACTCAGTGCCTCTCCTGGCACCACTGACTCTGCCAACACAATGCTGCCAATGCAGAATCACAGGCCTTAGCTCGATGCTACAGTAGGTTTCAGGTGAGACCACTAATATGCATTTTAAAAAAGAGAGTCCCTTAGCTGAGGATATAGCTCAGCAATATAGCATTTTCCTAGCATGTGCCAGACCCTAAATTTGATCCCCAGCACAAGAAGAAAACAAAAAAGAGATCCCCTGGTGATTGAACATGGCACAAGTGTTCTGCCCCAGGCTTCCCTTCCTTTCAATGCATTCTAGAGAGCTGCCAGAGTAACAATGCACCTGGCACAGTGCAGGCACCAGCTAGCTAGCTGTTGGATGAATGCTGGTCATAATAACTCTCTTGTTCAGAATCATTATCAGTTTCTTGATATCCACAGTTTAAAATCCAAATTCCTGGTGTTGTGGCCCCTACCCAATGCCCCATCTGGGCTCCTCCTGCCCCCTGTCCTTTTCACCAGTGCTCCTGTGCTCCATGTTCTTTGTTCACGGCCTCTCATGCTTATAGACCTTCCATCCAGATGTCTCCTTTGTCCCACAATGACCGGCCAACTCACCAGCCCACATGCAGTCCAGTCCACACAAGCACAGATGCACAGCACTGCTTCCAGCTAGCCTCATCTGAACCCCCACAGTCACCTGCCTCCCTTCCCTGGGCAGATTTCAGTACTTCCTACTCCTCAGCATCCCTGGCACCTTGTAAGTTCACATATTCAAGTGTTTCTCACGCCGGGCTGTCACAGTCTCACAGCCACGCCTCTCATAGTGGAAATCCTGCATCCAGAGCTCCCAGCCACCCTGCCTGGCCTATTATAGACGAGCAACTTTTTTTAATTAACAAAAATGTAAAGAGGAATTAAACTAGATAGCAAGGATAACATTAACAGACAACTTCTGTATACATGGCTGTTTTTTAAATTATCAAATAGTAGGGACATAGATTTATACTGGCTTTGCACAAAGGTTTATCATAAAGAACCATGCTTCCCCACAAATAAGGGACCATTCTACTCACACAAAAGGCAGTGCAGTCTTTCATGGGAGCAAAGAATTGAGGGTGTTTAAGAGCTTTTTTTCTCTGTTAACTGCTTAGATCTCTGCAGTGGAAGTGTCATCCCAACTCCACAGAGGCTGGAGAGGCAAGGCATGGGTTCTAATGCCAGCGCCACCACTTATCCGCTGGACAAAGCTGTGTAACATTTCTGAGCCTCCTTTCCCTTGTCCCAAAGACGATAATACTACAGACATCACAAGGTTGCTAGGAGAATCCAATAAAGTAATTGCATGAAGTGATTAATTAGATCAGGGCATATGAATGGTACTTATTGTTACTTCCAGTACTCAGAAAGTACTTCCGACACTCAGCAAATTTAGCCCATCCCCTCCCATGTTCAGTGTAACACTGAGCTTTTCTTATAGCCAGGCTCCTCCCAGCTAGGTAGATGTCGTGTACAGATGGCAAGGTTATGACTAGCTTCTGATGTAGTTGTCCCTGTAGGGTCACACGGAATGAAGAGGGTGGAAATTTCTGCTATAAGTCACATAGGAGAGCATGGAGAAAAGTCAGGACACAGCAAGAGACATCATCAGGGGCTCTGTTCCTATATCTTCATGGCCTCCACTTTGGGGCCTAGGGCTTGAATCTTTGAGAGCACTCCCGGGTAGTACAGGACAGGGGGAATGACTGCTCTCTCTACCTTCATTTCCCTTTTGTTATCCCTGAGCCATGGTTACACATTCCAGTCTCAGACCAAGGCTTGCATCAAAGAGATAGCAGCGCCTCCTGAGGCCAGAGAGAAGGTGGCGGTGACAGTAAATGAACAAGTCCGGGTGAAATGTGGGGAGGAGTCTCCCCTCTGCCAACCATGGAGGATCTGGGCTGCTGCTGACTAGAGAAGGCTGCAGCTCCCTTAGCTCTCACGGAGAGCACAGCACCCAGATAGTAGGTCCCTTACCTCCTCAAAAGCATGGCAGCCTGTCACCACAATATTTGGCCTGAAGTTCTCCACTTTTGCTTTCTTCTCCATCCTGGTGTTCAGATCTGCCAGGGAGGCTTCCGAGAGCATCAAGATGGGGCTGCAGTCTGGATAGGCCACCTGTGCCAAGAACATAGTACAACCAGGTTGACACTGGGTAAAATTGCTGAGTCCAACTGCAAAGCTAAGCAAGGTCCAAAAGGGAATCACCAAAGTGCAAAAGCAGGAGTGGTGTTCAGGAGGTATCCCTGGGCTTGGAAACTATGGGCCGGAACATGGTTCCTGTCCACACACAGTAGCAGGCCAGTAGCCTGGGCTAGCCCTGGCTAATGTTACTTGCCAGGCCTCTTCTCCCTCATTCCTCATCCCTACCTTAGAAGTAGGCATTTCACTTCCTCATCACACAGGGAAGAGTATGCTGCCAATCAGCTACACTCTAGTAAGAATTTTGTTGACACCACATATTAACTCAACAAACACTTACTGATTACTTATGGGGAAACACCCGTAACAAGGCAGATTTAAAACCAACCAACCAAACAACAACAACAACAAAAATCCTGCTCTCAAGGTGCTTTATATTTCAGGAGCTTTAGGGAACAATTCCCCAAGATACTTGCATTTTAAACCTTGGTTCATGGCAAAAACAAAGGCCTTGGTCTTTGGGCAGTGGCTGACACAGAGGACAGTTTTTGTTAGGAAGAGGTACCTTTCCAGCCCCTGAAATGACCATGCCACACAGGCTGTGAGGGGGACCCAGGAGAGAACCCACTTCTATCACTTCACAAACTGCTAATTTTTACCTCTCCAGCCAGTTTTCTCCTGAGTCTCTGTCTCCCTGGAAGTCACCCCTGTCCCCTTCCTCCACAATATCTCCAATGTCCAGTCCCACACACACGAGACCCCACCGCTGAGACATCAATCATCCCACCTCCCTCTCCATCCTCAGTGTCTCCTCCCAGGTTGTTCCCTTAGAACCACCCACCTGAGCCATTGCCAAGTTTTCCTAACTGAGGTCTCACAAGAGGTTTTTGTAGCCCATAAGAAGCCATGAAGTCCAGGGTGACAGGTAGAAGTGAAGGAAGACCCTCTGAAAGCTCACCTGGTAATTCTGCACAAAAGGGAAAATTTTCTCTGATGCTCTCCCCTTCATGCTTGCTTCAAATTGAACCAACCTGTACACTTCTGTTTTCAAGTAGTTCGTGAACCACTGAGCTGCCTCATCACCACAGTCTCTGCCTTTAATGTCTAGGCCAAACAGCCTACAAGGGTTGAAGGGGAACACAAGGTTACTCACTTACATCAACACACTGAGCAATGGTGTAAAGATGGTGAGAAGTTAGGAGACCGGAAGTTAGGAGACAGAAAATGGTCAGGCAGAACAGGGACAGGGGAAACTCAACGGAACTTACCAAGGACACACAGATGAGATAAACAGGTCTGAGAAGTCTGGGGAGTCTTGAAACCCAGATTTTGAAATACTGAAGCATATGAATGGTATGTGAACCATGCCCTGAAAAGATGCCCAGCTAGTGCACTGGACCTCAGGGCCACTGGGAAGGGAAAGGGGGGCACACACAGTGTCCCCATGGAACACACTGGCTAGTGATAGCATACACCCATGAATAAACCAATAGCACAGAGACGCAATCAGCTTCCCTTCAACGAGGAAATAAAATCCTTATAAAAACCACCAGATGAAGAGGCTGGGGGGGGGGTCAGACTTTCTGAGACTCCTCCCATGCATATGGGAGTTTTTCAACTTCCTTTTTCTCTCTGCTTAAATAAAACTCACCTTTTCTTCTCTGCTTAAGACTCTGCTCTTTTGCTCACCCTGTTCTCCATGACTTTCATTCTTCAATACATAAGACAAAGTTCCCAAACACTACTGCCACTGCGACCAGACCACCACAACAATGGCACAGCTGGACCTCTGGGCCCTGACCATCCCAGAGGGCTATTAAGTGGTCCTGAGGCCAAGCTGGCAGCAGCAGAGCGAGGAGGGTATAGAATGTGCTCTGGGGAAGAGCTTCCCAAACCCTAATGTGCATACAAATTAGCCAGGAGCTTGTTCAAATGCAGACCTTGGCTCAGTGGGTCTGGGTTGGAGGCTGGGAACCTGAGATTCTGTACTCCTAGCAAGCTTCTGGATGCTGAAGCTGCTGGTCCACGGACCACACTTTGAGCAGCAAGGATTTTGGTTACCTTCAGAGAGAGGAATCGCTATGAAGTAGATGGCACCCTGAGCTTGAACTCCAAAAGGCCTGGTTCACATTGCAACTCAGCCATTCCCTAGTTGTGGCCTTAAGCAAACCATTCAACTACTCCCACCTTTTGTCACAGGGAGTAAATTGCAGACAATCATGTAATACCTACCTACCCCATGGGGAAGACTGATAATGTTACATAATACCGTGATCTGCAACTTTTTTACCTGAATTACCCTAAAGGAGGCATTAAAAGCTGTGCATCCTTCTCAGAACCATGTTAACTTTTTCATCCTAATTTTAATTTGTGAAATAAAATTTCCACTGAATTGTAAACACTGACATTTAAAATGACATGATTGCATTATGCTCTAAAATGTATGCAGTGTGGCCTGAACACTGTATCGGTTTGATACTCTCAACTATCCATTTTAACTACAAGAATAAGGTCCTCTTTAATAGCACAATGTCATTTTTTTTGTTTTGTTTTCTTATTTGTTTTTTGAGACACAGTCTTATTATGTAGCCAGGCTGGCCTGGAATTCTTCAATTCTCCTACCTCAGCCCTCTGATCGCTGGAACTACAGGTATGTACCACCATACTCAGGTTAATGGTCCAAATTGTTATCATTCCTTTTATTCTTTTTTGAAGGGGGGTTGGTACTGGAGTTTGAACTCAAGTGCTGGTGGTTCAAATGGTAGAGCACCTGCCTAGGGAGGTGTAAGGCTCTGAGTTTAAGCCCCAGTACAGCAAAACAAAAGAGCATGCTTCAAAAACCAAGGGCTGGGATGTGGCTCAATGACAGAGTGCTTGCCTAGCATGTGCTACACTATGTATGAGCTGGGTTCAAAAAGAGAGAGAGAGAGAGAGAGAGAGAGAGAGAGAGAGAGAAATAGGGTTTTCCTCTTGAGGAAAAGCATCCCCTACCTTCATGCACCATGAGAAGCATTTGCCCCACGCCATGTGAATGGTGTGGTGCGTGAGGTGACATATGTAAAGGGATCCAGCGTGAGCACATGAGGGAGGTGTTCAGGATTAGAAGACCCTCTACACACCTGGAAGTTCCAAGTCCTGATCTGAAGAGTGAAATCATCCTCTGACCAACTGTCCCATCTACTGTCTTTTTTATGTGTGTGTGTGTGTGTGTGTGTGTGTGTGTGTTAGGGGGAGACTGTAAATTAATGCCAGGGCCCCACCCATGCTAGACACATACTCTATCGCTGAAATATACCCCCAGCCTGGCTTCGAACTGTGATCCTCCTGATCTCTGCCTCCTGAGTAGCTAGGATTACAGGCATGAACCACCGATGTCTGGCTCCTACTATCAAATCTTGATGCTCTTCTGTTAACACTTCTTGGGTCTTTTCCTTCTCTCTGAACCCCTTTCTTGAAGCACTGCTTGGCCTCTCTTTATCTCTTGGCTTGGTGCCTGTAGACATCTCATGATTCTCTCTGAGCCTTCAGCCTTTGCCCTAAAACTGAAACCAGTCTACTAATTTAAACAGATTCAAATCACTGTTCATGAGTGCCTCAAGAATCCACTCCTTGGTGGAACATGTCCCTACACTCCTTCAGAACAGCAACTGTGTGTAAGAGCACAGATGTCCACCCACATTGTTCTCCCATCCAGGGAGGCTTAGTGTTGTCCCCCTCCTGAAAGACATCCCTCCACCAGTCCTCACTGCCTCCTGTCCCCAGAAACCGACCCCAGTTGAGGACTAACCACAAAATGTAGTTATGAGAACATGAAACAGGAACCTTTGCTCTGACAAGGTGCAAGTTGGCCCAACTAGGCGTTTTCTTATAAAAGTTAACATGCACATGCCTACTGATTCAGTCACTCTGCTCCTGAAGTCATGTGTGCATGCATGCTCCCAGAAGATATGTGTAAGAATGCCCACGGAATACTGTTATTATTCGGGAAAAACTGCAAACAATTTTATAAGAAGGACAAAGGGATGAATATGTTGCAGCAAATTCATACAATGGAAATTGCACAGCAGTGGGAAAACGTGAACTAGAGCTTCTGGTGACCAGCAGCAAATGAATGAATCTTAGGAGTATGTTGAGAGAAGTAGGAAGATGGAGAAGACAGGCATAGTTAACATTTTGATAAACTTCATTACGATGGTGCTGAGGACCGAACCCAGGGCCTCATGCATGTTTGCAAGGCTACCACTTAGTTCCACCTCCAGACCAATAAGATAGAAAATTTAACTGTATCTTATGCAGTACATAATACATAGAAAAACCATGGAGAGTGACAAAGGGATGAGAAAAGAATTCAGGACACTGGTTAATCATGGGGGAGGAGGGTCAGAAAAGTCTGGAGTTGTGTGCTGTGCTAGAGGTGTTTGTTTCATTATTACATTTTACAACTTACATGTACATTATGTATGTTCTTTTGTGAGTAGCAAATTGTTAATTAATTGTTTAGTATCATCAACAGTCAATGTATCTAGTAAGCGAATGAAACTTACTGGGGAAATTTCTTGCGGTAGTACCATACAGTTAGGTCTCTGCCTCTGGTTCCTATCACACAGTTCCTAAAACCCCTGGACTCTCCAGAGTGACAACTGGCTTTTTGTATGTTGGTGAGATGACTGATGGCTTGGCTGCTCCTAAATAGCCTGAAGATGGGGGGACCGGTTGCCAGGGGAACCAACCACCAGCTCATAGGGTTGAAAACTTAGTCCTACCCCCAGACCTCTAAGAAGGAGACAGAGACTGAAGGTTGAGTTAATCAATGACCAATTATTTTATCAATCATACCTATGTAATGAAGCTTCCATAAAAACCCAAAGGAGTGGGTTTGGACCGCATCTGGAGAATGTGGACGTGTCTATAGAGGGTGGTGCACTCAGAGAGGGCATGAGAACTCCAATCCCACCCAGCCCTGCCTGCCCCATCTGTCTCTTTCATCTGACTCTTCATTCTTGGCCTTTGAGACGTCCTTTATAATAAACTGGTAATGTGTGTCCCTGAATTCTGTATGCCATTCTAACAAATTAATTGAACCCACAGAGGAGGCTGTGGGAACCCCAACTTATAGCTGGTCAGTGAGAAGCACAGGCCACAATCTGAGCTGTGACCGGCATCAGAAGTAGGGGACCATCTTGTAGGACAGAGCCCTTCACCTGCGGGATCTGATCTGTCCCCAGATAATGGTGTCAGAATTGGAGTGTAGGACGCCCAGCTGGTATGCACTGGTTGAGAGAAACATCCACACATCTTGGGACCAGAGGTGAAGTAGTCTGTGGTGAGTGATGAAAAACTCTTTGTTATCTTTCCTATCTCACATTCTCTTCTTTCCAAAGGAAACTATTATTTCATTACAAAGAAATAAAACTTCTATTGGATTGTCCAACATTGAAGTCATTTCTTACTTCCTCCTCCTTTAAAACATAAGGATGACTTTATTGTATAAAAACCACTCTGAAACCTTTGTGATAACCAAGAAGCCCCACTGGCCTAAAACTGCCCTCAAAAAATTTAACATGATACAAAGTAAGGGAAAGCAGATTCAAGACACAAGCAATGAAAGCTAAAAAATGAAATAAGCATCCACGACATTTCACCCTTGTCCAAATGATTGCATTAAGAGACTTTCTTTTTTTTTTTTTGCTGGTAGTGGAGGGTTGAACTCAGGGCCTCATGCTTACCAGGCAGGTCCATTTGAGCCATGTCCCAGCGTTTTTTGTTTTCTTTTTCATTACTTATTTTCCAGGTAGGGTCTTTCATTTTTGCCAGGGGCTAGCAACAGACAGAGATCTCCCTACCTACATCCTTCTGAGTCATTAGGATTACAGGTGTGCACCACCGTGCATGGCCCTAGAGACTCCTTCCTTTTTTGTCTTGTTTTCCTTTCATATTTTCTTTTCTTTTCATTTTATTTTATTTTTGAAGTAGTATATGTTAATTATACAAGGGGATTTCATTGTGATGATTCCATATGTGTATACAGTGTACCTTGAACAAACCAGCTCACCCTCTCCATTATCCTTCCACTTGCACTCTCCTCCCCTCTTTTTTAAACAGTGTTTTGTGGGTTTCATTCTATTGTCCTCATCCCTCAATATTCTTTCTTTCCCCTCCCACTGTTTTCTGCCTCGTGATCTACATCATCACCATCTTTCCAGGTCTAAGTTCCTCCAATGAGTGAGAACATGCAATATTTGGCCTTTTGAGAGGCGCCAGCATGATATTTGAGGGTGTTGGTTTATTTTATTTTATTTATTTTAAGCTCTGGTGAGCTGACTGTGGTAATCCCTCTGGTAATTACCACCTGTTATGAACTGAATGTTTCTGTGTTCCCATAATTCTTTTGCTGATGCGTAACCCTCACTGATTCCCCCAGTGCGATGGCATTTGAAAGAAGAGCCTTTGGGAGGTAATAGGTGCATATGAGGTGTATATGAGGCCATGATGGAGATAGTAGCGTCTTCATGATGGGATTAGGGCCTTTTTTGTTATTATTGCTTTGTCTTGTGTTTTTCAGTTCTGAGGATCAAACCCAGGGCCTTGCCCACACTAGGCAAGCGCTCTACCACTGAGTCATATCCGCAGCCTAGGGGTAACTGCTTATTCAGCAAATCTATTCATTCAAAACCTGTCATTTGTGGAAAAGCCTTTCCCTTCCCCACATATAAGCAATGAAAGAAAAGCCTAGGACACAAGTTGATTCAAATCCAGCTCCACCTTCTCAGTCATTGAAGTCTTGGTTTCCACCCATGTAAAATGGAATTAATGATATCCACCTCATAGGCTTGCTAAGATAATTAATCAAAATATTGTATCAGTGAATTATTGCTTCAGACTTCTGAAAATTGGGAAGCATGAGGGATAGATCTCAGCTCAGACATACTGCTTGAAAAAACTTTCTGTGGGCACAGAAAGTAATCTGAGGCTCTCCTCTGAGCCCTGAGACTTTTGGACATCTATTTCCATAAGTTTAAAACACTCGCTTGGGGGCCGGGATGTGACGTCCTGCTAGAGCGCTTGCCTAGTGTGTACAAGGCCCTCGCTTCCCTCCCCAGAGTTGCCAAACAAACAAAAAAACCTAACACAATTCACATGGTCAACAAAAGAAATGGTCTCTAAACTGGAGACCACCCATAGAGTGGGAGAAAATATTTGCCAGCTACACATCAGACAAAGGACTGATAACCAGAATATGCAGAGAACTCAAAAAACTAAACTCCTCCAAAATTAATGAACCAATAAAGAAATGGGCAACTGAACTAAACAGAACTTTCTCAAAAGAAGAAATTCAAATGGCC